TATATATATTAGTTGCTTTCGGTGTCCCAAGGTATAACCACAGTTGGCTGGAATCGGTTTCATGTCACTGTAACGTCGGCCTATAAAGACATTTGACTATGCTCGCCATCTTTCCTCTCTCGACACGAAGCGGCCTTCACCTGTATGATACCTTACCGTTCACGTATCAATTGTCAGGCCATCTGGAGCGTTTCTGCGAAGAGATATTCACAGAGATTAAAGTTAGCAGCTTTATAATAATAATGGTCACTAATTGAACTAATGATAACTTTACATTGCGAAGTCATAGAACACGATAACATTACGTTCAATTACTCTTGCGTAATCGAATTGCGAGGCTGCACTTAGTATCTCTTCTAGCTGTTGTTGGGTGGTTAGTGTTTTCCGCTTCACTATAGACCTATTGGCGCAACGAAAAAGTCCCAGTTTGGCAACACAGATCTCTAGGATACAACCTCCTTTTCTTAAAACAGCCTTTCGATTATTAAAATATCCTAATCCAATATAATCTGTACATTTGCAGTAAATGCCTCAATGGGGAAGAGCTAGATACAATTTCAAGACAGTGGAAGATGTGGAAACAAGTACAAATACTGATCACATCACTTCCTTTGCACACCATTAACGATTTTCAACAACTTCGACTATAGACGGCAAAAAATAGGCCTCGTAAAGATAACTCGTGTAATGTAGCAGTTATTGGAATCTCATGGAAGAGTTGTGTGACTTGTGCGTTTGGGTTTTGCAGATGGGGCTACGTTCTCACAGCCCTCCGAATGCCCTTCTTGGCCGCATGCGACTGGCTCATCAGCAAACCGACTCGAGTGGCGCCTCGTCTATGAAGACAACAGGTTTGTGCCAAGATTATTGTGGCTACGAAATGTATGCCTGCATTTTATTGAGTTACAATTGTATATAGCTATTACCTTTTACAAATCCATATTCTTATGCAAATATTTTGCAATTGGAAAGTAAGGAAATTACAGTACTTTGCGATGCTAATTATTGATTCGTAAAGAAACGTTTGAAAAAGTTCCTCTATGTCGGACGATACGAATGTATTCATTTGTATTTGTCAGATTTTTTTGTTTATTGGAACGAGTTGCGTTACTGATTGTTTAAATTGGGCTTGGATGATCTGTGAAATGTAGGCGATGAGGACGCGGACTGCGAACGATCAGATACTGATCAAAGCGAGAAGGTGTTCTACCCACCTGCTGGTCAGAGCGGTCCTCCTTCAGGTGGAGGCTCGTCATTTAGTGTCAAAATGGGTCTACAGAATAGCCTCTCGCAGCCCAGTTCGGGTGGCAGCTCGGGCTTTGTCGACCTTATAGAAGCCCGTCGGAGGCTACGGAGTAGGGGCGGCCCTAAGGATCTCCAACAAGGTAAGCAACGTTATTGCAATCATTGTTATTTGCTGATACAAAATGATAGCATGCATAGTAATCTCCCATTCAACAGCTAGATATTTTAATTCGGTCCGTGACGTATACCAGCGTCCCACTGCTTTAATCATATCTGGATAGAGAAGAAAGCAGTTCCGATATATTGTGGCATTATCACTGAAACCTTGGTGGCACGCTTAAATTTCCTTTCCGCATGCCTGGGCGCGCAACGACGGCATAATCGCTGGTCGCTAATTTGTGGTATTTTCTAACGTTTCTAGAGTTGGCAAACAGTGATCTAAACTCAGACTCTGACCGAGATTCGGCTACACCATCGAAATTTACCGATAGGGGTTCGTTGTTCATGTCGACGGAAAACCTTGAAAGACTTGGGCAGCGTGAAAAGTTTATGAAATCGAATTACGAAACCCTTGGACGAACCGCTGAAACTGAACAGGATATTGTACCCTCCTTGTTGCGTAAAAGCATCACGGCCAAGTTTAAAACAAGTCCTGACGAAATCGAAAAGAAAGCTGGGCCTCTGGAAAGTACGCCAATAGCTAAGACTGGTCCGACGATCTTTGAGAAGGGCTCACTAATTTCGGGAGCCGCCAATACGCCACTCAAGCCTCAGACGGGCAAAAAGCCCATAATGTCTCCGTGGGCATCCGGCAACCATCGTGAAGAGCTCAGCAAGGCTTTGCAAGAGGCAAAACAACGGCTTCAGGGCGTGGGCAAGGGCCACAAGTAAGTTGAATGCTTAAATCCGCGCTACAGAACACAAGAAATACACAAAAACTCAAAATCTTATTAACAGATCTTTTCTCAAAGTGCTTATTATATACACACCCAGTTTTGAAGTAGGCGGTAGCGAGGCAATATCGATGTCAAGCACTGACCTGCGAACCGATTTTTTATTGATAGGTTGAGTACGTCGAAAAGTATAGGCGATCTACTCAGTCTAAAAGATCGCAAGGACTTCGGCTCAGACACAGACAAGACGGATAAAGACTCGCGTAAGGAGGAGCTCATCCGTCGCAGTACGTCGATGTCCGATTTGGGCGGCGCCGCAAGACTCTTCACTACCGTCCGCAAAAAACCAGCTGTTAACGATGGAACGGAAGATGGTATGTCCTAGTAGAAACCCTATTGTCTTATACCATTTAGTGACCGCTATTAGATTCGCTGGGCCTACAGCTATCTTAAACAGTTCTCAAATTTGTCCAGATCCAGGCCGTGAATTCATAT